ATTGGTTTTTACGGAACGGAGTTGCTAGCCCCACGCCCAACCCTCCTCTATTCTTATCCTGAACATGGGACCAGGAAAAGGTGGTGGCCTCCCTGCCGGGGAACGAACCCGGTACATTTGGATTAAAAATGTAACGCGCTATCCACAGCGCTATAGGGACACCTGAAGAACTTAATTCCGAGTAATCTTGTTTGGTCCTAATCGAAACTAGTGAGTGACACTTCTGATGCTGGCGACGTGCATAATTTGTGAATATGAAGAAAATTGTAATATCAAAAACGTCAAACAGACATTTTAAATCATGTGAACACAGCAAATAATTTTTTGTTTTTGTTGAACCTGGCGTGCCCTAATAGCGTGTCTAACTGAGGATCTATGGTTCGTGTCCCATTGGTGCAAAATCGTGCTCTTCTTTGTGGGTAAGTTGCGTTATAAGAAACACTGTCAAGACCAAGTATTACATTACAGTAACAAAAAAGTTGGCGGTGGGTGTTTTGCACGAATATCCAAAACAAATCAATATTCGACTGTAAAATACTGTTTTCGTAACAAAGCTCTAAGTAATCTAAGTGTGGAAATTTCCTATCACGCTCGTAATCTACACAGTGACAAAAATATTCACTTTAAGTTCTTAAACGATTATATACAATGCTGTCCACATCAATTTCAATCCTTTCATCAGTGCTTAAAAAGGAGTGAAAAAATATGTTAAATGCAATTGTTAGTTTAACAATATTTAGTAACAAAACCACACCTAACATTAGATTCACACCTTCTAACAGTGCTTAAAAACGAGTGAAAATATATATTGAATGCAATTGTTAGTTTAACAATATTTAGTAACAAAACCACACCTAACATTAGATTCACACCATCTAACAATGCTTAAAAACGAGTGAAAATATATATTGAATGCAATTGTTAGTTTAACAATATTTAGTAACAAAACCAAACCTAACATTAGATTCACACCTTATAACAGTGCTTAAAAACGAGTGAAAATATATATTGAATGCAATTGTTAGTTTAACAATATTTATTAACAAAACCACACCTAACATTAGATTCACACCTTCTAACAATGCTTAAAAACGAGTGAAAATATATATTGAATGCAATTATTAGTTTAACAATATTTAGTAACAAAACCACACCTAACATTAGATTCACACCATCTAACAATGCTTAAAAACGAGTGAATATATACGTTGAATGCGATTGTTAGTTTAAAAAAACAGTAACAAAAAATAGATCTTAACAGTTAAATATGTGTATAATTTTCATGTCAAAATGAAAGTTTGTTTTTGCATAGTTTAGATGACAGACAATGTCTTCCCTTTCAAGAGATATTATATTTATCTGTCCTAAAGTGTCTCCTATGGCTCCACGATAGTTTGAGGGCTTATAATGCTAAAAGTCGAGATTTGATTCCTGCCGTGGGCACTGCACCTTTGTGCAAAATGTTCTACGTCTTTAGGTGTAATAATTTCTCATGGCTGAAGAGCCTCCCTCGAGTAGCACAGCAGTATGTCTGTGGACTTACAACGCTAGAAACCGAGTTTCGATACCCGTGGTGGGCTGAGCACGGATAGCCCATTGTGTAGCTTTGTGCTTAATTCCAAACAAACTCATGTCTAAAGAACAGTTTGATCACCATCTCAATGAACACCCAGTGGTCCAGCGGTAAGTTCTTGGGGTTTGTATCGCTAAAAATCAAGTTTCGATACCCATGGTGGGCAGAGCACAGATAGCCTTGTTAAGTAACTTTGTGCTTAACAATAAACAAAGCTCCTCTAAATTTATGTTTAATTTCAGTGAGATTTGTTTAAAACTTTAAAACAAAAAATCTATCTATGCTATTATTCTGCTTGTTTGTATGTACAACCGTTATGCTTTCTGACCAAGAACCTGCTGCATAAGCAGGCGTAGTTAGAATGTTTCCCCAAGAAAAACCGCGCATGCGCATTATTCACTCGACGACAAACAGTCTGCCTGCGGCAGAGAGCTGCATAGCTCAGTGATCAAGTCCCTACAATTGCTGTATGAAACAAGAAGTAACAACAAAAGGGTAATGTAAATATACTTTACTAACCATTTTGTACAACAGAATATTAAAACTTATCAATTTTTTTAAAAAAGGTTTGACGTTAGGTCGTAGAACAACATTATAAATTTATTTATCGATATGATTAAGTACAGTAAAGTTTAGTCCCAACTAAACTAAAGTAAAAAAAAAAAAG